TGTCTGACGCGTCTGCCTCCGCGACCCGAAAGGAGAAGCGGCGATGGAAGATGAAGATGAAGATATTTCCATCGCTAGACATATACAAAAAACATTATCGCCGGAATTATGGATTTAGTAGCAAACTGGTAGTGTTCAATATTGCCAGCAAGAATAGCAGCCTTCTATTTATTACTTCTACAAATTCACAAGTGTTCAAGCAAGTTTTCGTTCGACCCAACAAAATGCTGTACTTTTGCGTGACGTGCCAAAATTTTATAAAGTCATGGCTTACTTCAACGATTCCCTAGGCCACTAGTAACAAGGACATGGCTGGCAACTATGCCATATCAGTCCGCAGATTCTATAGGTAAGTATCACTCTAGCCGGCAGTAGTGAAAACTCGTAGTCTGCTGAGAGTAAACCCCTAATACCGGGGTCAATCTTTATTATAAAAGCAAAAGTTAAAGGTATACTTAAAACTTTGAAAGTGTTATCTAAAAACCAGACGAGCAGAAAAATTTTCTACGAACCTTCAGCTTTGGAGTCGACGAAGAAGGTATGTTTATTTTGTCCCAGAGCGTCACCCTGCAGCATCTGCAGTGTCGCTAATGATTTTTCGATTTTCTAAACAAAATTCAGCTCATGACTACTTTTAAATCAGCAGCATATAATACGTTACATTTTTCGAGAATTTCATACTGATGGCATTTAAACAATACAACGTGCAGCAAACACTGAATACATTCACAGTGCAAAGTCAGATGAACGTCCAAAAAGTTACTTATTAAACAATTAATTATATTATATGAACAAGCATGCTGCACTACGGAGTTTATTCTTTAGATTTAACGATAAATCAACCAGATTTATTAGCTTAAGAAACAGTAATTGATACCAGCGCAAAATAGTTTTGTCACAGATCTAACCCGTAGAGAAAGCATAAGATAAAAAAGAATATAAGAAAATTAAGACGAACATGTTACAATCACAGGGTCCAAGATTACCCGATTTTCAATCAGCTGTTACTGCTCTTTGACGGCGAAGTCGTTTATATTGCCATTATGACAGTCTATGATCAGTTTAGCCGGCTCCAAAATCGAGTTTTATGTTGTTTGTTGATAGAAAAGAGTTCCCAACTGCCTTCTGGTTAATTAAAGAAGTTATCACTTCTAGCTCTGATTTTGTGAGCTTTAACCGCAAGGAACTAGTGCCATCGATAATCCCATTACTGGCGTCTTATCATGAGACCGTCATATGGTTATATGTGGAAACTTTTCGGTTATGGGTTTGTTGGTCCCGCCCTCAGTCACAAAAATTACAGTATTCACCAGTGCCTCTCCACGGTCACAGCTGACTTTCACATCTGGAACCTGGAAAGGCGCGAAATGACTCCAACTAGGCTCATTCAATGCCATACTAAGCCAACAGTGAAGATATGTTAAAATCACAAAGTTATAAACTAAACAATTACAAAAGAGTTTATGACCAATCATGTAGAAGAACTTCAAGAAAGTACCGACGACCAGATTTCAAGAAAATCTGGATACTGCACAACAAATGGAGCAAGCAGGATTCAGAAGCAGATTCAGTAAGATCGATCATATTCAGATGTTATAACAAGAAATTCAGTCACAAAACAAATGCAAGCTTCCTCTATGCCTGGAGTTCGTCAATTTCGAGAAGATTTGATTCAGTCTATATCCGTTCCCTACTGGACTCTTTAAGAAATAAGGGAATCGAGAAAAGATATTAAGACCTAATCTCCATGATTTACAAGAATTCAAATACCAGAGTGAAGCATCACAAAAATGCAAGCAAGTTCAAAATCAAAAAGGGTATCTAGCAAGATAATGAAAGACCTTATTATCGAAGTTATTAATAGCAGCTCTAGACAAGATTTTCAAGCCAGCCCACTGGAAAAATGAGGGGATTAAAATGAACGAGCACCACATGAGCTACCTATAATTTGAGTACGATATTTTGATGCTTTAGAGAAATGCAAAAAAATCCAGTAGCTAAACGATACAATCATGAAAGTAGAACAGAAAATGAACCCAAAGACTGCTCAGGTCATGTTTAACAAATGTGACCGCGTACGAGATGATAAAATTATCGTACTTAAGCTTGAAGAAATGCAAAACTACTTCAATTCGGAACAGTTTATCCCCGCAACAGAGAGCCGACTATGGAACATCAACAGAATAACAAAAATGGCATGGAGCACTTTGGGAAGACTGAAAATTTTCTTATGAGAAAAATTGCTGTTGTGCTTGAAACAGAAATTATTCGAAAAGTGCTGCCCCTCCCCCCGGCTCCCCCAGTGCTAGGCGGTAGGTGCGGAACGTAGAAGGTAAATCCGAAAACTATTCGCAGAGTACGCAACGCAGCATCGAATAATGTATTTTGCGAATAAGAAAAAAAGGTAGGAAGACGAATGAATAAATAATAACTCATAGAGGAGCGCAATGTCGGAAGTTAAAGAGGCAATGGGCAGGTCACGTTACAAGAGCAACCAACCATCGCTGGACTAAAGCGCCATTAGACTGCAGTCAAAAAGAAAGTAAACGACCCTTAGGCAGACCTGCAGATCAATGTCAGGATGAGCTGAAGAAGTTCGTTGATTAAGATGAGTAAAAATGGCAGAAATCCAAAGTTTATGACAAAGTCCGGGCTTGTAACCACGTTTTATCCATTAACTTAAGATCCTGTATATGTTCTTTCGAAGTCTGTGACAAAATTTTGGAGTGGTCTACACCCAGAAGTGCATCGGTAAAGACTGATAATTTATTATGCAAAATGTAATAGAAGATAATAGAAGCATACGGAACCTGCACGTTATGAATAACTCCCTTCAGAAGTATTAAGAAGCAAATGTCTTCTGGCCTACTGGTTAAAGGGACAGCGTTGAGGGAATTAGATTTATATATGCCCGAGGATTCATTATCAGTACCCTCTAACAATTCGATTAGAGGATCTTCTGCATTTCAAATACTGGTACTGAATCGTCCATAAGTTTTAGAATAACAATTAAACTTCATGGATTCAAACAGCAATGCTACGCCGCATCTGCGCCTAAACGCTTAGAAGGAAAGTGAACAACAATACTCCAGTAGCATCAGCAGTGTATTGAGGCATTTCGCATCGCATACCAGATAGGGCAATCCAATGCTGGTTAAATGATGCTTCAGGAGATGATACCCGTTTTGACGAGTATTCACAGTACCAAGTCGTGTCGCATTGTCGAAATAAGGAAATTAGCCAAATCTTCTACAATCAAATTGCACAAGTTTGTGATCCCCTTGCACTTAAAGACCTAGTGGCCTACTTAAGCAGACAGCAGATCAGCTTCATAACAGAATGAAAGGAAAAATGATTATACAGCGAGCAGAAGAACTTGTTTTACTCACATTTTAAAATTCATGCTGATTTAATGCCAATGTTTCAAATACAAAATCTCCTCGCCAGAACGCTTTTCGATGCAATGGCCATAGCAACAGAAAGGCGTATCGATAGAAGCCTCCATTCTGAGATATGCGCCTGATCTGATGATGTACAGTATGGTTATCATCAAAATATCGGATCAGAATAAAGATAATTAATTACGCATAGACTTTATGCTAATAGTCTCTGAAGGCATCTAAAGGCCTTTTGTCTAAAAGACTTCTTATTAAAAGAGCCCATTCTGTCGTCATATTTAGCTTTTGTTCAGAAAATGAAGGTGAAGAGTTCGAGTCAATTATAAAATCAATAAAGAGTCAGTAATCCAACTAACTCCTTACCAGTCGCTGCATGTTCATTTTGAAATTTATGTAACGTTCGTCCTGAGTGTTGATTAACTTCATTTGCTCCGTCGTATGTTCCTCCTTAGAACTTTTGCTCTTCTCGAAAACTTTTCCATTCTACAAAATTCCAAAATAGATTCAACTGTGTTAAAGACATAGTATGAAAATTTTACAGTTCAGACACAAAAGTCGTGTGCCACAAATAACTGAGGAAACATCAATTCAGTGCCAAAGCAGGTACCAGGTATGTAAAAAAAGTACAAGCAGATAATTCAGTAGTCATCATAGTTTTATCCTTAATCAGACAATCACGACACTGAAAATAGAAAATAACATTACAAATGTGAAACAACAAAATCATTAATTGCCGACAACACAAGTTTTGACCCGCAGTTACGCAGAACCCAGTCTCCGCTGTTGAGATGTTTATAGCCTCGATACTGGATTACTAATTCCATCGTCGTTCACTCATAACTCGAACCCGGTGAACTTCGGCTGATTTAGATGAAAGAAATTCAGCTGGTAGAGCGCCGGACTTAAAATGTGAGGATCATGGACAAGCGCCAAGTCCGGGTCATCGAGTTTTCTTCTTTTAAGATCAGGCGAATAATATCCCGGGTGAGAGAAAACACTGTGTTGTGTACTCCGAATATTTATATATGGTAATATACAAATATCCGTACTTTACAAATCGAATTTCAATAGTTGATCTGTAGACGACAGAGCATTCCTGTCGTTCAAATCCTTGCGCACGCTGACGAAAGCATGTGATAAATGGTGCACGTCTCGACCGCGGAACCAGGAACAAATATTTGGAGATTGACGAAAATCGTATTTAATGGCGGTATGCACCCGTCTCCCCCTCACAAGTCTGTCATCAGACTTTCACATGTTTTTTCAAGCCATTTCATACTGCAGCTAGCGTACGAATCTGATGGTTCGGACTACGTTAAATGAACTTTGATTTATTAGAAATTATTAGAAATTTGATTTTCAGGTCATGGAAAGAAAATAGTGCTCGATCAACAAGCCAAATGAGCTGGGGCAAGTGCCTCGATCTACTCTGCTCCAGGCTCGGGTTGTCGTCTTCCGAAACTCAGAAGCTGGCACATGATCGGAGACGCTGGAGACATTGTCTGGCGCTGCTCTCTGCCAGATCAGAATCAATAAGCGGTCATCAAAACTGCCTGACAGATTGACTGACCAACCGACTGACCTCAGTTCAATGGTCAACATAAAAATTATTCGACAGATGTTTATTTCCCTGGTACGCCGCTACTTCAGAGATTCTTCTAACGCTTCCAGAATCGCTTAGACAGCATAGCGCTATTAAACACATACCTCCGTTTTACAGTTTATCATGTGAAAGTAAAATTCGTCCCGATTACGTTCCAAAGCCTTCTGTGAAAGCTTCTTCAAAGTATTGCGTTTTCTCTGAAAATCCCTAAAATGATCAAATAGGGATTAGATTTGAAAGTCACAAAGAATGGATAGAGACGGCCGGTTGCTTACCTCGCGCGCAACTTGTAATCTTTCTTTTTTTCGAGCTCTCCGAGATGTTTCCGACTGGATAACTAAAATCAGTCGTAAAGGTTTACTATTAAGAGCAACCTCAAAAACAGTTAATTCATTTGCGCATTGCTTCATATTCGCAAATTATTTAATTTGCTATGTGATCATAAAGAACATTACCTGCGATCTTTCTCTGTATGTCCTTCGAACATGTTTCTGAATGTTTTTCAGCGAACTCATGGCATATCACTCTGCTAAAATTTTAAAAAAATAAAAACTAATGGTAAATATGTAAAGCAAAAGTATGTCTTGAGATTAAGCTGTCAAGCAAAACTTTCCATTTTAAACACAAAAAAAATTTTATAAACACAAAGCAAAGTTTCCCGTCCAAATCTGATAATAAAATTATAAATATGAAAACAATTAAGAAATGCTTTTAATGAGTTAAATAAACCTACATAACACCTGTGACAAGACATATATACTGATTTTTTTTAGAATCCCTATGGTTTCTCGCCAAGGCTTTTCGTCAGTCTCTAGAGAAGATGAAGAAAATATATCATCGAAATATCATACGCGTGCTTGTAATGCATTAAACCATCTTAGAAATTGTCCTACAACCAATTTTAAGATAAAGTGGTATCTAGAAAAATAAAATATAACTAAAATAATAAACTGAAGTCGAAAACAATTAAAATAAATAACAGCTAATCAATCAGGACTAATACGACTTTTGAATTTTAATAAGCAGAGATATTTGGGCACAGATATCGTAATTTCTAAACGAGCTTCAGGTGCCATGCAGTATTAAATTGTTGTCCAGAAAATTGAAGTACACCTAAACAAGACTATATTTATGCATTTTAATATTTACAACAACTTTTAGCCATTCGATAAGCATTTTGTCGCATTCATTTGTTGCCTTTCAGCTGAATGACAGAAAAATTTAAAATAATGAAAT